AGACAGGTACTAAACAATCAAGCAGGATCCCTGGATGCCACAAAGAGTGCTCAGCTATTAATCGAAAGGTTGTTGGTTCAAATCCACCCAGAGACACCTCAGGCCTGGCCATCGTCTCCTGAGAGTCACAGCCTCAGAGAACCCTGGGGTGGGGGGCGGGGGTGGGGGCAGGTCTTCTTTGTGCAGAGGGTCCCAGTGAATCCATTGTCCTTTGATAATCGGTGGGAAGGGAGGAGGCCGTCTCTGACTCCCAACCTTGGCTCGGTAAGGCCCCGTGTCTAACTGCAGTGGATTCCAGGCCCTGAGGGAGTCAGCCTTCAAATTCCACCACGGGACATCCATTGTTCTACCCGACAGGGGCCCTCGGCAGACGAACACGGAGTAAACAGGGTCACTCCGATGTCATGACCGGGCTCCAGCTGGGAAATTGTGGTGCATGAGGGGCTGAGACAAGATCACTTGCACGCCACCACTAGAGACACTGAGCGCCAGAAGAAGGCTCTTCCCTAGATGACTGGGTTCATTAGAGGCCAGCCCAAGCCTAGAGAACAGGGGCCAGTCACCCGGCCAGCCCTTCCTTAGTCCTCAACATGGGCTAACTCCCACCAGCACCACCAAACTCAAAAAGCCTGCAGGGTGGGGTCAAATCCCCCCGTGACTTCCAGAGCCTGGGACTCTTTATAGGCTAGAAAGCCCCATCTTTCTCCTCTGGAGTGGCTGGTAGTTTCAAACGGTGGACCTTTTGGATCACAGCCCAATGTGTAACCACTATGCTACTGGGGCTTTTATCCGTATCCACGGAGCCTGAACACCTCAAACCCAGCGAGATCCCCAGCCTTGTCAGTGAACTTGGACTCCCTCCTCCCCCAGCTGGTCTGGAGCTGGGGGCTCCCAGTCAACACCCTTTCGTGGGGCTGTCCCCTCCCTTTCAAACCCAGCAGTCACCAGGAGAGCAAAGCAAGAATGATCACATCCGACCGTGGCAGGGTTGAAACTATACCAGGTTGTGTCAACCCTAAGGAGCCACCCGTTTGAAGAGCAGCCGCCACTTTAAAAGACAGGCCAAGGCTGAAAATGCACAAGGAAAAGCAGGACTCCACCCATGCTTTTCTGAAATCACTGGGCCCGAGAAAATACCAGGGAATTTAAGTGTGAACAAGTCTACCTTTAGGAGCAGTCCTTGAAGAGAAAGAATGAGTCACATTATCCGTTAAAAGGAGTCCTGCCGGTATAGTGGCTACCTGTTGGACTGAGATCCGCATGGTTGGCTGTTCAAAACCACCAGCAACCCCACAGGAGAAAGATTGGGCTCTCTACTCCCACAGTCTCGGGACCCCCCAGGGGTCGCTGTGTGTCCGCGTGGACTCCAAGGCGGGGAGTGGGGTTTGGGTTTGAGTCCATTCCGAGCAACATGAGAATAATTCAGATAGGGAGGAAGAAAGAGTCAGAGGCCCCCTGCTGATCGCTTGGGAAGACTCGAGACCGGCGAGGCTCTTCAAGGGTTCTAGGCCACTGTGTGCTTTCCTCTAGTTTCTCGCCGCAGAAGCAGAATTAAAGAGGTCCTGAAGGAGGGACCATGAAAACATAGTCAGTGCTGGCCCATAGCAACCCCCTGTGGGTTCCCGAGACTGTCACTGGTTAGGGGAATCGAAAGCCCAGTCTTTCTCCCAGAGCTGGTGGATGTTTCCAATGTTGACCATGTGGATCGCAACGCAACAAGTAACCACTGTCCCACCAGGACCAATTCTTTGACAAAACAAAGCAAAAAACTCCCTGCCGTTGAGTCGATGCAACATCTTAATGACCCGTTAGGACAGGGTAGGACTGCCCCTGCGGCTTTCCGAGACTGTAACTGTGTACAGGAGTAGAAAGCCTCATCTTTCTCCTGTGGCGCTGCTAGTGGATTTGAACTCTGGGCCTTGTGGATCGCAGCCCAACACACAATCATTATACGCCCCCATTCACAAGACTCACCAAGGTAGGTTTTGCAAATGTGTGAGTCTTTCTTCTTTGTAGTGCAAAGCGGCAATTCCCGTTGCTGGTCGGTGCTGCTGAGCGGATCCTGCCTCATGGCAGGCCCGGGATTGGAGAAGGCAACACTGCCTGGGCCTGCACTAGCTTCCGGTTGTTCTCACGTCTGAGCCCATTGCGGCAGCCGCTGTGTCCATCCATCTTACTGCGGTCACCCTCTTTTTCTCGGCCCTTTACTTTAGGAAGCGTCGTCTTTCTCGAGGGACTGTGTTCTCCTCACAACATGTCCAAAGTATTTAGGCAAAATCTCGCCATCCCTGCTTCGATGGAAGATTCCAAGACAGATCTCTTTATTTGTTCTTTCAGCTGTCCGCGATGTTTTTAATATTCCTCATCAGCACCATAATTCAAGGGCACGGATTCCCTTCAGCCTTTCTTATACAATGCCCAACTTGTGAATGGATAGGAGGCCCTTGACCGGACCAGGGATTGGGGCAGGTGCACCTTGGTTCTCAAAGGAACATCCTTGGTCTTTCCAAATCATATAATGTCTCTCATTTTTTCACTCAAGGTTCCTTGAGGATAATAGTAGTAGTAGTGCTCATTGTTCTTGAAGTATTCATAGTACCATTTACATAACAAGGGGGATTTTGCCATTCAGTATAGGTACCCAAGCTTCCAGACAAGTCATTCAGCAGGAGGATGAGGGGTTTCTGGCAACACATAACCCCTCCCTCAGTTACAAGGAGCCCTGCTGGCACCGTGGGTTAAGCTGCTCACTGCAAGGTAGCGGGTTTGAAATCGCTCGCTGCTCTGCGGAACGAAGATGAGTCTTGGAAACCCGAAGGAGCAGTTGGACCGTGTCCAGTTCTACTCAGGCCAGGGGCTTCGCGGCTCAGAATGGGCTCCATGGCTTGGCGTGGGGGCTCTTGGTTGGACATGCTGGAGGTCTCGCTCCTGGGGGGAATGCCAGCAACTCCACGTTACACCCCCTGGGGCACCCCATAAACCTTCCTTTGTGAATCGGAGCAGGCTAGCTGAAGAAAGACCTTTGAGAATGTTGAGCTAATCAGATTATCCCCGAGTGGGAGAAATGCCAGGAAGAATGAGTGCGTTCTTTATAACCCTAACTGGTAACAAGAACGGGCTTTGTGAACAGGGGGGCCTCGAGAACCCCTGGAAGGGAAGATGGCAAGTCAACAGGGCCCCAGAGGGCCTGTCGCTAGTTCTGTTCCCAGCCCCAGGTTAGCAAGGCCCGGGGGGCGAAGGGGCAGTGCTTTTAGCCCTCCAAGTCCAGTACCAGACAACCCCTCTTCATTACCAAACCCCGTGCCTTGAGTTCAGGGGAGACCCCCCCCTATAGATCTGTTTCTTTCTTTTCTTTTTGCAGATAGAATCCACATGCCATAAAATGTACCCTTTTGTCACCCAGCTCTTTTCGGTGTAGCTGACAAGTCGTGCAGTCATTGCTCTGACCTGCATCCTCTTATCATCCCCCAAAGAAACCCCCTGAGTCGTCACTCCCCAAGCCCTCACTGTCCAACCCCAGGCAACCTGGGACCCTTTGGCTCTGACCCTGAAGCCATACAGCCACAGGCTTAAAGCAGCCCATGGTGGCTCCAACGGGGCCTCCGGTTTCTCATTGAGGCAGCTCTGCTGGAAAGTGGCCCCGCCGCACGCCCTGCCTGGGGCCAGCCTGTGTGGTCACTGCCTCTTGCACAACTAGGGGCCAAACGCTGCCGGTAATGAAACGAATGATTTAGTTAGCCTGTTGGCAATGACCCACAGTGTCCAGAGAGCCAGAATGGGCCCCACGAGGCTAGCAGCAGTGCCCAGCTGAGGCACCTGAGAGCCATCCTGACAATGTACCCTCTTGCCCCTATCTGACTGGGCCATGCCGTGCCGACCCCCTCGATGCTTCCTTCCAGAGCTGGGGCAGGCCAGGGCACAACCAACGGAGCTGAGATACAAACGCGGACCTGCCCAGTCACAGAGGAGGGACTCTGGTCATGCTGCAGGGACTCTGGTGCACTCAGGACACATGCCAGGCTCACTTAGGTGCAGGGAGAAGCTTGGCTGGCGGGCAAACAGCAATATCCCCCGTCTGTGCTGAGGCATCCCTG